CAGGAGAGCTGAGGAAAAAAACAGAAGCGGAGTCAGAATGGGGTCAGGCCTGAGACCACAGGGCTGCTGAAAACAGAACAGGCTCAGGTCATCCCCAACCGCAGCGCAGGTCATGGGGACAGACCTGCTGCTGTGTGTTGCCTTGCTGTTTTGTTTTCTCTGAGAGCAAACTGTTAAAGTCATTTGAAGTAAAAAGTGTCTGCAGCAGGTCGAAGTACGTGGCTGGGATATTTATAGCACATAGTGTACCACTCCTGTCTATAGCGGGTGCATAATAGAGGAAGCGGGTTTGCTTACAGTTGTAAAAGGTGAGAATGATCGTGGTGCTAGCTGTCTCTCAAACTGTGACCCCAGCCCCTGCCCCCTGCAGCCCCCTGCTAGATCACATCTCTGTATGACACTACAGTTTATCACGGAGGAGAAACTTGTAAGGTGCTTGCCTTAAAGTGGAGGTGGCAAAGATATCACTTGCACTGTCAGACTACAGTGCAGTCTTGGGGTAATCTAAGGTCTATTTTTAAAACTGTATCCTAAAACAAATTTAAACTAGTCTATAATAATAATAATGTTTCTTATTAGCCCTATACAATTTCTTGCATTAGGAATGCGTCTTTTCGCATACCCCAGCTTATGCGAAAAGACTAAAGTCTGTTAAAGACTTTAATCTGGGATGGTCATTTAAGGCTTCAACCTGACTATCACTCACATATACAGTAGATCAGGCTCTGAGTGTGAGCTCAGCCTTCAAACGCACCTTCAGACAACACACTGACTGGAGACATTTTTAAAATGCAGCTATCGCACGTGTGGCTATAACATTTGTGAGCCCCTGACGTCCCACGCTACGCACCCTTGAGAAAAAACCATTGGCATGCTGAAATAATAAATTGAAAAGGCATGAGTAGAAATAATTTAAAAAAAAAAACAAGATCCAAAACCAGGATGCATTTTGCATGAAAATAAAAAATGTTCAACTTTTTTCAGGTAGACATTTAACGGAGCCCCACAACCGTTCAATTCAATTCATCAATATGCTCTGGTGTATTATAGCCTCAATGCATCCACCCATATTCTAGCCCCTTGCTCCTGCTGAGGGTCAGTGTAGTGACAGGCTAGTGAGCAGGGCAGCCCAGAATTTCCTTTCCTTTCCCCGGCAACCATCTCCAGCTCCTCCTGCAGGACTGAGCAGCGACTCATCTCCACTGTCCTCCCAGTCTGCCAAACTCCTCTCCCTGTCACGGCGAGTAAGTCCAGCAGCCCTAGGGAGAAACCTCATTTCCACCTCTTGCCTGTGCAATCTCACTCTCTCAGTCACAACCCACAGCTCGTGTTCGCAGGCGAGGACGTCATTCCTATTCTTATTCAATGCTAACATCTGACACCTGCCTGAATCTGAATTATTTAACTAGGCACATCATTTAGAGAGAACACAGGTAAACATTATTGAAAGGCAAAAGTCTGCCAGAGAGTAACATGTGCTTGTGAAGAACATGCCTGCAGGACGTGAGTTAGCCCATTACTGTCTGTGTGCTCAGGCCTGTGCACACACTAAGGTATATGAGAGCCATTTGAATTTGATCGATTTTTACTCCTGCTTTGCAGTTGTGTGCAGCTGAGGACCTGAGAGCTATAGCACGGTTGACTGAGCAGGAGTGAGTGAAGAGACCACAAGTGAAGTGAGTCACTGAGAGCTCTTCACACTGGTCTTGAACGTCGAGGAGATTATACAAGACGTGGATCTTAGACGATTCTGTAATTACAGGTGTGGGGGATGCGAACAGGTTAAAAGGAAGAGAGAAGAAAAAAAAACCCAATCTGCTTAGTCATCTCTTTGTCCCTGAGAGCTTATTATTCCACAAACGGAAGTCTGAACTTTGGTGATATCAAAATTATTCTCATAGTTAGCAACATAATGAGAACAGACCAATTAATGGGCACTGTCTGGTCTGCACGTCAGCTCTGCATGGGGTAAAGCGGATTTTATCAAATATTTTTAAAATGGTTTCATTATCATGTAACGTGCAATGTAGATGCTATCATATACTGTAGGTGTCTTTACACCATGTGACGAGCTATAAGCCTATATATGAGCTCAATTAATGTTTGGTTGAAATATTTTCATATTTTGTACTGGAAGAGGATCAAAGGTGTGATGTGGGTTGGCTGGTTAACTCATGTCCACAGGAATGTTCTGACCAAGATCAAATGGAGAATAATCATCTACAAGAGAACACTGATCCATTGTGATGCGTAGGGTATAGCGCTATGTGTCAATTCGCTAAAGGCAAACCGGAATTTACAGACACAGTATTTCAATTAGAAAGCAGTCAATGGACATTCAAAACGACGCCACGGCTGGGCAAACACTTGGCAGGTGACGTCTCATTCAGACAAGCGCGGCGTTTTGCACGCAGCAAGTAGAAACATCAGATATATATACACAACGGGAAACACGGATCTAGAGGAGGCTGCTCGTTTTGACGCGTCGTCGACAACTTCTAGACCACGTGGGAGTGCGGAACAAGCGACCCAGCCCAGTTGTTGAAGTTGATACTTTGACTTCCTTCAAAAAAAAAAACTGCTGGATGAGATTCTGCGATCAATCAATTAACACCTAACGACCAAACAGGCTAGATGGACCAGATGGCTCCTCTGGTTTGGAACTTTTCTTGTGTTCTTAATTAAAACTCTGTGGTGCATTGTGCTCTTTCAATTGTTCTGTAATATTCCCCCCCTTCCAAACACTGCCAGTGATCGTTTCCTCCAGCTATTCTTACTTTCATTTTTAAAACACGACTTCACCTTGCAGGCACAACATCGTTGTTTTTAAAGAATATGTGTATATAGCAGATTTTCTTCTCCAAGATCAAGCAGTTTAAATGTGAAAATTAAAGATGAGCTGCTGCACTCTATGAATTGGCTTCATCACTCTGTTCTACCCACTGAGAGCTGGTGTGTGGGGAGTGCACTGGTGCACTATGGCTGCCGTCGCATCATCCAGGTGGGGCTGCACACTGGGGGTGGTGGAGGGGA